CCCCATGTGGGGCTCGCCGATCCCAGGACCCTGGGATCACAACCCAAGGCGAAGGCAGAGGCTTAACCCACTGAGCCACCCAGGCGCCCCAGCAGTTTTCCTTTCGATAAATTTGTTGATAAAGCTGCACCAGGATAGAGGCTGAACGGCAACACAGTTTGACAGTGTGTGATGTTAGAAAGATGAAAGTTGGGGTCTGGGGCCTACCAAGGAGTGGGATCTTAGGAAGCAACCCAGGCTGTCAGTTGAAACAACAGGAGGCCTTAGCCTGGGTATGAGGACAAAGCAGAGGTTGTCTGAGCCTTACCAAGATTGCTAACCAGCCATGGTCAGTTCAGTCCCTAATTGAGGTGATCCTCTCTGCCACTGATGGCTGAAGGATTGGGTGAGTCCTCACTGGAAGGAGACAACCCAGTCTCTCCCATGTTTCATTCTTGATACTTAGACTTCAATCAAAAAATTACCAGGCAGTTGAGAAACAAACTATGAGAAAAACAGAATAATAGAAGTAGACCCAAAAATGATGTAAAGATATTGGAGTTTTAGTATTTCAATAATTGTGATTAATACATTTAATAAAATAGTTGACAAGATAGAGAATTTCACCAGAGAACTGGAATCTATTAAAAAGAATCAAATGGAAATTCTAGATATGAAAAACAGTACTGAAATTAAGTGCTCAATGGATAGTTGTTTGTTTTTGTTTTAGTTTTTTTATTTATTTATTTGCCAAATGGCAAGAGAGGGACTACAAGCAGGGGGACAGGGATAAGCAGGCTTCCTGCTGAGCAGAGAGCCCAATTGGGACTCAATCCCAGGACCCTGGGATCATGACCTGAGCCAAAGGCAGACACTTAACTGACTGAGCCACCCAGGCGCCCCTCAATAGATAGTTTTAACAGTAGACTAGATATAACTAAAGAGAGAATTAATGAGCTGAAATCTAGGTCAGTAGAAAAATCTATACTAAGGGACACCTGGATGGCTCAGTCAGTAAGCATCTGCCTACGGCTCAGGTCCTGATCACAGTGTCCAGTCCCATATCCGGCTCCTTGCTCAGTGGGGAGCCTGCTTCTCCCTTTGCCTGGCATTCCTCCTGTTGTTCGCTCGCTCGCTCGCTCTCTGACAAATAAATAAATAAAAAAAATCTTTTTTTTTTTTAAAGATTTTATTTATTTATTTGTCAGACAGAGATCACAAGTAGGCAGAGAAGCAGGCAGAGAGAGATAGAGGAGGAAGCAGGCTCCCCGCTGAGCAGAGAGCCTGATGTGGGCCTCGATCCCAGGACCCTGGGATCATGACCTGAGCCGAAAGCAGAGGCTTTAACCCACTGAGCCACCCAGGTGCCCCAATAAATAAAATCTTAAAAAAAAAAAAAAAAAGAAAAAATCCAAACTAAATCATATTGAGTGAAAAGAATTGACAGGTATGGGAAACAGCATAAGGCATTCAAACATTGGAGAATCAGCGGGGGAATAAAGGAAAAAGGGGGTAGAAGCAATATTTGAAGGCTGAGGAGTTTCCAGAATTGATGAAAGCCACAAGTAACAGGTTTAGGAGGTATTATATATGTATTATAAATAGATAAATTAGAGGAAATTCACAATGACCATGAGAGAGTAAAACTGCTGTCAACCAAGGCAAAGAGGAAAAATCTTAATATCAGCTATAAATAAAAGATGTTAGTTTGCCTGTCTTTTTGAAGAAGCAGTGATATAACCTACAAAAAATCTATAGGTTACAGCATAACTTAATGGTAAAATATTGAATGCATTTTTGCTTAGTTCCAGAACATAACAAATCTACCATCGTGACTTCTGTTCAACTTTGTGAAGTTTCTAGATAATGCAGGATGACAAAGAAGAGAGAGAAAGGGAGGGAAGAAAGGAAGGAAGGATGGATTTAAAATAAACAAAACTGCCTTTGGTCACAGGCAACCTGTTTGTATACATAGAGAGTCCAAAATAATCAAGTCATATTATTATAGTTAATAAATTTAACTAAGCCTAGTTTTAAGAACAATATGCAAAGATCAATTATAATTTAATATTCCACCAATAAATAATTAGGAAATAAAAATTTTGGGCTATACCATTTGCAATGAGTTTAGAAACCTCAAATAAGTAGGAATAAGTCTATCAAAATATGTACAAAGCCTCTACACACATTACAAAACATTATTGAGAGAAAGTAAGTGGGAGCTAAACGAATGAGGATATCTGATGCTCATGGACTAAATCAAGAATTGTAACGATGTTAGTTATCTCAAAATTTATCTGTATGTCTAATGCCATCACAAAAGCAATTCTTGGGGCACCTGGGTGGCTCAGCGGGTTAAGCCTCTGCCTTCGGCTCAGGTCATGATCTCAGGGTCCTGGAACTGAGCCCCATATCGGGCTCTCTGCTCCGAGGAGAGCCTGCTTCCCCCTCTCTTGCTGCCTGCCTCTCTGCCTACTTGTGATCTCCCTGTCAAATAAATAAATAAAATCTTAAAAAAAAAAAAAAGCAACTCTAGGAGTGTGTTCAAGTGTGGGTATGTACGTGAATTTATGCAGAAATGCATACATAAGAATAGCCATCTTGACAAAACAAAAAAATCAAAGCTGGAGAAGTTAAACTACTAGATACAAAGACTCATTAAAAAGTTGTAGTGATGGGGCACCTGGGTGTCTCAGTTGTTAAGTGTCTCCCTTCAGCTCAGGGTCATGGGATCATAACACTGGTCATGATCGCAGGGTCCTGGGATCAAGGCCGGCATCGGGTTCCATGTTCATGGGAAGCCTGCTTCTCCCTCTCCTACTCTCGCTACTTGTGTTCCCTCTCTCGCTGCGTCTCTCCGCCAAATAAATAAATAAAATCTTAAAAAAAAAAAAAAGGCTGTAGTAATTGAGACAGTGTGGGATTATTGCTGTAAAAATAGACAAGTAGACCAATGGAAACAAGGCCGGAAACAGATCCACATCACATCATTCATTGCGAGTCACCCACTGTCTTCAAGCCTTAGTCTCCTCTTCTGTAAGCAGGCTTCATACTAGTGCCTACCAGATACAGTTTAAATATTATGTATCAGAAGAATTCAGATATTATACTAAAGAGGTTAGCACAAACAACAAGGACACAGCACGTGTCTGATAAAATCTAGCCCGTATTAATATTGCCATTGAGACTGCCACTATTACTGTAATTATCACTACTGCTATCGTTACCGTTCATTTTTTGTTTTTCAGTGTGATTATCTGGAAGTGGGGGATGGGTGGACATTCAGTTGGCAACAAGGAACATTTGGGGCAACACAGAAAGAGTAGGAGAAGGAGTAGGATAGGAGAGAATCTTAGCCTACCTGGAAGAAGAAAGGGATCAGGGAGATAAAGTTCATGATTCGGTCAAGGTTGCCTAAGAAACTGGAATGGGATTTAGCCTAGCACCACGGCGATGTGGCTGGCCAGTCTCTGAAGACAGATAATGTGATCTTTGATTCTTTTCATATTCATACCCTAGACGGTGCCTCCTGTTTCATAAAGTGGGTTGCTGCTCTAGAGGGTCTGGTGTTCTAGCTGTTCAGTATCTCTAATCCAGGTACAGCCCACGTGGCATTTCCTCTCCCACTGACATCCCCCTCCCCTCACTCGAGCGAGGACTAACCTATTCTGCTGCTTTAGAACACTTCAGCTGGCTGGGAGAGGGATCGTAGTCTGCAGCTCTGAGTTCATTTTCTCACTCTACTGCTTCTATTCGGATGACTTTAAATACAGATACTTACCCCCCCCCCCCCGAGTTTCATCTGCAACAAGGCGCTGGGGTTGAAATGACAAAAGTAACACTCCAGCACAGCTTTTCATCAGGGTGGGGTTGGTGGCGGCTCTTACTGTCGTTGACAAAGGTCTCACAGCCCGGAGGCTCGCATCCAAGCCTTTGGTTTCCCAGCCTCATAGGCTTTGTCACCTTGCTGCCTCAGATTTGGCCGACTCGAGGGCAGGATTTGGTACTCAGCCTTCCCAACCCCTTCTAGATCTGGTCAGGACCCCGCCTGCTGCGTGTCTGTAATTCAGTTTAGAAGCCCCAGCTGCAGGCGCCCCTCCCCCAGGGCTGACGCTGTGTCACTGATAAAAGCTCCAGGTGGGACTTGCTTCTAAGGAGGGAAGCAGGGGAAGAAGCCCCTTCTCACCCCCGGAGTCTGCCCGCGAGCCCAGCATCATGGAAATGCACCCGCCCTGCCTTCCAGAGAGCGTGTGGTTCCGCCCACCCCTGGGAGCAGCCTTCCCAAAGTGCAGTTATGGCCGAGACTGGGCGAGGAACAGGGGCTTCTGCGGCTCGTCTTCCTGCAGCTCACCCCAGGTGGAAGCCTGGACTCCACGAAGTGCACCCCTTCAGCTGAAACGTGTTTACGGTTGGGTACCTACCGCTTCGGAGCCGCTTGCTGTGCACAAAGCCCCCCGCGATTGCCCCCACACTTGTTTCTCTTAAAGAGTCCAGCCCCAGAGACGATACCTGTAGGCCCTTTCGGCAATTCTCGGCCTCGTCAAGTCTCCGTCTTAGATGCACAGATCTTTTTAACAATCTGATTGTCATCTAAAGGAGAAAATCTCTTGCGTCTAACCTGTAGATCTGCATGTGATTTCGAAAGTGCTGGTTGACAGGCTTCCTGGGGGAAAACGGAGAGCGGCAGCTCGTCAGGCTTGTCAGGACGTGGGCTCCTCCAGTTCCAATTCCTGCCAGGCCTCGGGTACCGGGTCCTCTACAAGTCAAGAGCTGACTTTGAGTTCTGTCCTGAAGCGGCTCTAAAACCCTGTGTTGGGGACAAGCTCCCGTATTTCTGAGAGACCCTTTCTCCTACCAGCGACTTGGCTGACCCCTCGCAGAAAAGAACACAACGCTGGAAGTGCTTTCTGAGGGAGACAGGGGCTGTGGGGGGAGTCCCTTAAATCAGGAGGAACAGGAAACTGAATTGCCAAAAGAAATATTATCATCCTAATAAATGAAGCACATGATTTGCATTCCAGGTCCTTCAACTATTCTATGGGAACCCGGGCATTTTCCCATGACAGTATTTTTATCCCTGATGGGGGAGCAGAAAGTGAGCAGACAGTTCAAGCAATGTCACAGGACAACATCCTGGGCAAAGTCAAAACTCTTCAGGTAAGACAGCTTGAGATTGGAAAGTCAGATCCATAGGAGGGGGTTCCGGCGATGGCGGGAAGCGGGAAAATCCTAAGAGTGGCCTCGAGTAAGGGATCGGGAGAGCCAAGGGAGCTCCTGGTGAGAATTTCTGCTCTCTCAACCCTGACTCTGTTCTCTGGAAGCCTTCTGTGCCCTGTGAGAGGTACACCGTCACCACTGTACCCACTTACCTAACAACCCCACTCCTGTTATTTTGAGCTGTTCCCTCATTTTTAACTGCATGTCATGAGGACAGGTACCCAAGAGAAGCTTCAGGACTTGGCTGGGTGGTGGGGGTGGGGGGGTTGGAAAAGTAACCATTGAATGTCACCCATAATCCCGGAGCACAGGGTTGACTGTAGCTGAGGGCATGCACATCACGTCCCCTACTTGGACAGTGACGGGGGGACTCTTTATTATTTGCCGTATTTGTAAATCTGGCTTCCCTTGAGCCTCCCTGTCTTGGAGGAATGCCAGGAAGCTCTTCAACCTCCCTCCTGCTCATGCTGCCGAGTCGGGCAGTTTTCCCTATAAAACTGACGCAGGGGGTAACTCCTCCATAATGAAAATTTAATAAAATAATTATTCACTAAATGATATTGAGATCATGGGAAATCCAGGGAAAGCAAGAGGAGCAGAGACACCTGGGATCCGATCACGTAGGTTTGCTCGATAGCCTGATAGGATTCACTCACCCGACAGAAGTGCCCAAGCAAGCACTTCTCTGAGATGGGAAGGCTTGGAGGCGATCCAAATTATGAACAGGGGACTCCGGTTTGCTGACTCCCATCTGTCTGTAAGTCTACAACAACGAATGTGTCAATGAATGAAGGGCGGGGGAACAGCTGGCCTGCGTAGCTGCCGATAACTCGAAGGAAATTTTCTATTTTCTTGAAATGTTCTTGTTTCTACTGAACATTAGCTATGCATTTTGGGGTCTGTGGTTACATGTCTGCACACTCTCAGCTGAATATAGCATATGGCAGGAGGGGAAATAGCTAACACCCGGAACCACACCCGAGCTGGCCTGGATCTTTATACCTGCTGCCGGCCACGGCCCAGGGCCACCGTCCTGTCCTCAGCGCTGACGCAGGCCCTTCCGGCAGGTTCCAGCATGTCCTGACCAGGTTCTGCTCTCAGTTCTTGCTGGCTGTGCTGCTACATGTGCACAGACCCAGAAGCAAGCTGTCACTTCTCCTAGGCTGGAGAAGAGGAAGGGTGGTGACTGCCCAAGAAAACGCTGGACCCCCTCCCCACATCACCTTTCCTTCGTGCAGTATTTTGACTCCTGGGCTATTATTCTTAAGAAGTTCTGAACCCGGGGCTCATAATATGCCCTTTCCAAGAGGAGTGACTTCCAGAGTTAAATCCGTGAAACAGCTGTTATTTCATAAGGGCTTTCGAGGAGTTCTTTAAAAATGAGATAATAGTGTGTTGTCTTAAACGATGTCTGTGCTAACGTCACACCGCATGCCACTGCCCCTCCAGGAAGTGGATTTGGACTTAGAAAAAACATATAACTCTGCACTGTTGAAACTCAGTAAGAATGTGTGAGTGCCTGTTCCAGTTCACGCTGGGGGGCACAAGTTTAAAGAATCAGATCTTACAGTTAAAATGTAAAACAACAAAAAAAAATTTTTTTAAATTAAAAATAAATAAATAAATAAATAAAATGTAAAACAACCAACTTCCCTGAAGCAGCAGTTCTATTAACAATGGAAAGGAAAATGTGAGGAAAGTGCTCTCCTTCGGGCAATACCTACTCACCCGAGGTCTGCCTGACTTTGCCTCTGCTGTGGTATGGCTTCACAAGCTTCTTTACTGCTCTCTAGTTCTACTTTTTTTTTTTTTTTTTTTTTAATAAAGAGGCTTTGCTCTTTGAGGAGGGAAATGGGGACCATTATCAGAGAAAATGTGATTTTTGGAGTGACATTAAGATATGACTGTATCACCCCCAAAAGACTGTGCTTTATTTTTCAGTCGACTAAGCAGTATGTTCCTGGTAAGTCATAGAAACCGTAGTTAACTTTATTAATACTTGCATGAATGCTTTGCATTTTTCCATGACAACGTTATGCTGATATTGGTGCTCCGTAAGCAGCATAAAAGACCGCCCCCTCGTAGACTCCAGCATGGAATGAGGGTGTTAGTTATGTTAGAGGCATGTATGTTTTCTATGTCCGAAATCGTGTTTGTGTATGTACGTATGTTTATTAAAAACAGAAAAGTAACGGATACCTATTTGACAGTAGATGTCCTGGCAGGCTGATTAGTCACTATTTTTTTTTTTTAAGATTTATTTATTTGACATAGAGAGATCACAAGTGGGCAGAGAGGCAAGCAGAGAGAGAGAGGAGGAAGCAGGCTCCCTGCAGAGCAGAGAGCCCGATGAAGGACTCGATCCCAAGACCCCGAGATCATGACCCGAGCCCAAGGCAGAGGCTTAACCCACTGAGCCACCCAGGTGCCCCTGATTAGTCACTATTAAGACATTCTTTTGAAATGAGATTTGTATCGTAATACCATTGGGGGGGGGAGTCATTTTTCTCTGGCCTGAGAAACTTCCCAGTCCTTGGAAACCCCCCTCCCGCCCCCCTCAAGGGTGCACGTACTGACTGTGTTGGGAAAGGTCGCCCTCTAGTGTCCACACGTGGTCATCCCAGCTCGCCTGGCTGGCCGGGGCACCCGGGTGGTCTGTAACCGCCCTGAGGGCAGAATGACTGAATGCCGCGTGGTCAGTAAGCCTGCATTCTCTGAATCAAGTGAATCTATCACCTGCCAAAAATTTCTGTCACAAATGATTGAGACTTTACAAGAAAAATGACTCTTTTTTTCCCCGAGTATAAAAATACTACGTTTGTAGGGAGAACAAATTCTAATATATAGGACAGTTATAGGGGTCAGACCAATAGTGATGCCCTTTTTGAAGATCCTACACATAACAGTCAGCTGTTCCACGGCCAGTGGGTGAAATAAAAATTCTGTGCCAGGCCTCCCCCACCACCTGGCTGTGCGGCTTCCAGGGAAGTCATTGAACCTCTCTGACCCTCACTGTCCCCATCTGAAAAATAAAGGGGTAAATATGATGGGTGCTCACCTGCTGTAGCACGGAGCGTTTGGGGAAGCTTCGCACTTGGTTGCATTTGGACTGCAGTGACCTTGATGTTCCTTACAGCTGCCCAGATCACAGACCAGGGAGGTAACTGCTTAGATCAGATCAGACCCAGGCTATGAAGTGGGTAACAAGTGACGATAAAACTCAGGCAGGAACATTGGAGTCTAAGCCTGCAGGTGATTTCTAGAATTATACCACACCTTTGTCAGAAGATGCTAGCTCTATTGGACCACGGACTACTTAGCCCAGGAGGAAGAGCCTCCGTCTTCAGTAGCTACTGACTCCCGCGGAGCTGGATTTCACTTAAAAATGCCCAAGTGTCATATGTTGGAGGTTTTTGACACTTCATGCAAGGACACAAGGACACAAAGAATAGACACACCCACTCTTAGCCACTTCTGCGCAGAGCAGATATCGTTAAATCTATATGCCTTTTCTTTTGCCTCTCTTTAAGAATTCATTTTCACTACAGGTGCATCTGTAGTTCACTCAAGAAGACAGAAACTTTTTTTTTCTTCTGCTTTGTTCTCACAGACACAGTGTGAAGGATGGCCGCGAGCAGTCTGGGGGAATCTAAATCCTGGCTGTGCAAGAGCTGCCGGATACCATGTGCTTGGAATTCCCACACCATAGGAGAAAGCCTCATAAATATGCATGTGCATTCCTATAACATCACTCTCTGGCATTCCATGTTACAACAAAATGGCCCAGTTTGAATGAATAAAATATAGTCCCTTTTAGCTCACATTCCAGTCCTCACAGTAACCCCATTCACAGCCACAGGCGGCATGGCCCGTCGGTGTAGGCGCAGTGCACTGCCCCCCTCTCCGGGTCCTTGCAGCGTATATGAAGGGCCCCCGGGTAGTAGAGAAGGTGGAGGGAGTGGTAGTAGTTTACCAGGGCAGGCTCCATCCCGACAGTCTGGTTGTCAGGGGCTGCTTCTATCAAAGCTCTTCTCGTGACAATGCCTGAGTAGTGGACAGAACTGAAGTCACAAAAAAGTCCCACTGAGCTCTACATTCAAGTCACATGACACCCGAGATTGCCAAATAGGTTTCAGCAGCCACATTCTAATTGTCAGTAAGTCACACAGTGTCTCGACAGCTCTATTTGCTTTGAGTCGGCTACAGGAAGCACTTGGAGCAGGAAGCCCCGGGGAGGGAAAACGTGCAGGTGCAGGAACCTCGCCTTGCAGACCTAAGGGTCAGTTACAATGGCCCTGAACTCTCAGTCCCACCCTGGCCTGGTTCTGAGGTCTCTTCCCTGACAGCTGTAGGTGTGTGTCTAGGAAGACAGTCCTTTGTCTGGACAGAGAGGCGGCAGCCCGATCCCTGAAAGCAGCCAGCATTTCTTTGATGACCAGGGGCCTCCCCTCCTCCATCCCCCTAAGCTCGCAGCCACCAGCCTGAATTTATTTTTCCTAGAGTGATTTTAAATCAGAGGCTTCACAGAAATGCATGTTGTTATTCTCAAAGGCAACAGCATTGTGTTTCTTTGGCCAGGATGCACGTCTCTGTGACATCAGTCATCCCTTCGAGTCACGTTCTCATTCCCGCCCTCTACCTCTTCCTCCCCCCAACCCCCGTCTCCCTACCCCCAGCTAGGTACTTGCTGCCAGGCCCACACCCCACACCCCTGCACCCTCCTCTCGGCTCACCTCTTTGATTTCATGCTCCATTTCAGTTCTTAGAACCACCGTCTCCACTTCAGCTTCATCCCGTGTGCCTTATTCCTCCTGTTCTTATCCCATCGACTTCTCTTTCCATTCTCGCGTAGCTCCTCCATTGCTCGCCACGACAGCCATCCCATCTTTGGAGCTTATTTCCATCTAGACTGCGACTACATCGTGTCATACGCTTGTTTGTCTCTTAAGCATCAGGGTGGACCAACATAAGTATTTTATAAGGTGCCCTCACGAAGAAGAATTTCAGCATTTTCATTCTCTTTTTGTGATGGTGGCAAAACCTCCTAATGGAATGGCACTGACTGTTAGGCCAAGTTCTCCTGGGAAGCTCGTTAAAGAACTATTCTTTCTATTGTAACTAGAGGAAATCCCCTCATCTTAGTCGTTCTGGAACATGGAGACATGGCAGACCCTGACAATAGGACGTCTAAGTCTGAGGGGGTTTAGCACACTTTCCAGGGCTTGGCCAAGACTCCTAGAGCAGGGATAACTGGTAAACCAAAGTCTGGGCTGGGAGTCCCCGAGGGAATTCCTGCTAGGGCTTTCACTAGGACACAGGAACCATTTGACTCCCTCTCCCCCCGGTCAGCAGACTTGGACGGGCCCGTGACTTCGTTACACCGTGTCCTCTTGTCTGACTCCATCGGCTGCTCTAACCGTGCCTGCTTCTTGATCTGCTTAGGGTAGATACTAACTACCGCTTCCTGCTAAATGGTTGTGAGAAGGCACCCTTTCTCAGCCTTCCCCTCCCCAAATCCCTTTCAGGCTGCTCAAGCTGTACTTCACTGGCTGATCTCGGGGCTTTTGATGTGTGCTCCTTCCCAGGAGAGGCAGGCTCAGGCTGAAATAGCAGCAGATCAAATACAAGTCCTCTGTCTTTCTGTGCTCCTGACTTGGCATGCTGGGGTGCCCTGGGTGCGGGGAGGGGAGTCTTGGGCTCATCTCTTCCGTGTCTCTGCAGTCTCACTGTCTACCATGCAAGGCCGAGGGGGAGCTGGGCACGAGTGGGTGGACGGAGTACCCGTGAGTTCAGAAGGGGCATCTCCCTCAAGGGAGCCCCCTGACAAGGAAATTGGGCACAGAGTTGCGAATGCAGCATCATCTCTCTATGTCTGCCCCTAGAGGAAGAAAGTGGCGCAATGTCAATTTGTGAGAACCTGTGGAATGCAGAGCAAATAACACTGACTATGGTTTTAGGAGACCTGGATTCAAATCCCTTCGCGGCCATTCTTTCCATAAGCTTGGGCCAGTCACCTCTCCCCACTGGACCTCTGACATTTTTTATAAAATGAGGGGGTTGGACTATGTGATCGCTAAAGCCCCCGTGGTTCTGTGGGATTAAGTATTAGCCAGGTTAAAGGTAAATATAGATATAGATATAGAAAATGCATTCCCATTCTTTTTCTCTCTCTTTTTTTTTTTTCTTGACGCACAAAAGGACTACGAAGCCAGAGTCCCTAAGTCTAGAGCAGTAGCTCTCAGGCACACTCTTACCCCCCCAGTGGACTGTCTGGACAGGGAAGGAATTGCTGCTGGCATCTGGTGCCCAGGGGCCCAGGTGCGGCTGCTGAGCTGTTACAGCGCACAGGATAGCTCCCCACAGCAGAGAGCGATGTGGTGGGACGTGTCCGGAGTGCTGAGCTTGCGAACCTGCTGTAGACGAAGGCACAGGTTTACACAGCATATTTAATTCAGTAGTCCTTTGGGTGGCCGCGGCGTACCCTTCCTTCTTCCTGAATATTGTTCATTTTCTCTTTCACAGCCCATTAAATATTTTGCCCTTTAACATTATATTTATAATTTTTTTCTTCAGAGAATATATTTCTTTTTCTGATCTGGCTTTTCTCTAATTCTGAACACTATTGATCTTCCTAATTTCTCTCCCGTTTCCCCCACACACACCCTACTACCTGCCACGGATTGTGCATCCCTCTTTGGCCCTTTCCTTCTGCCTCCTTCTCTGTCCCTTCCCCACTGGGCTCCTTCTGCCCCACAGTTCACACTGTCAAACTGCAGCAGGGCAAAGAGAAGTCCTCGCAGCAGGACAGGATCGTTCTGTGTCTTCCGTGATTTCTGCATTGATCATGGAAGGACTTGCCAGCATTGGGGCCCCCTTCACCTTGGTGCCCATGTGAGCAGAACACGGTGTTCGAGGGAGGGCTGGTGAGGAAGGTGGTTAAAACAAATATTCAGGGAGAACGTGTCCAAGAGAAGCTAGAGGGCTCCCCTGTTACAGCAACCACGAGGGTCTAGATTTTCCCCAGTGGTTCCTGCATTTCATGTAACTATTTTCTATACCATTTTTATGAGACTTTTTAATAAATACATTTATAGGGCTAACCAAAAAATTTTGTCATAACATGTATTCCCACTTTTGGTTTGAAAATACGTTCTCTCTGCCCCCTGGATAATGTTGGCATCTCTGGGAAAGAGGTGGCTGGATGAAAAAGCTCATGGCTTGAAGGTGGGAAAGCAAAAGAAACTGGAAAACGAATCCACTTATCCCAAAACTGCATCGTGGCTCACTGGCATGGTATTTAGTCTAGAAACGTGCGCAGAACGCGCCCCAGGGCCCCCTAGCTATGCGGGGGCATCTGCTCGCACTCCTCGTGACCCACTTCCCTGCTTCAGAATGTCTTTCTTTGGTTTTTCTCCAGCGACAGTTGAGCAAAAACATCAAGTTTGGGCGGCCACCACCCAGTGCCATTCCCATGAAGAAGGCAGACAGTGGTGAGGCCAGCTTAGAAGAGGATCTGCTCCTGACCAGTCCCATGGAGATTGTGACTCACGAGGACGTCCCCCTCTCAGACACCGAGCACAAAGTAAGGCTCCTCCAGGGAGTGACCTGGTTGCTGATAAGCGAGGGGAGGACGCTGGGCAGTGGCCAGGGCATCCAGAGACTCTGGGCTCTGCGGAGCAGGGAATGTGTGAGAGAAGCTTTTCTGCTGAGCAGCCTGGGGCTGGAGGGCACCCCGTGGTCTGCAGTGAGGCACACTTCGGGGGGCAGCTGGAGGCGGTGAAGGGGAGACGTGCCCTTCGCGGTCGCTCCTCACAGCATCTTCCACTTACTCTTCAAGACTCTGCGGGGCCCACCTTTTCCAGGAAGCCTTAGCTGGCCTTACCTCCGCTGGGGGCTGTCTCCCGTGTCTTTGCTGGGCATCCTTCGTGCTTCTCACACGCCTGTACTCCTCTGTGTCCATGTAGTTGTGCTCTCTCCATCTCTAAATGTGGAGTTCCTCGAGGACAGACTGGAGTCTCCACATCTCTGTCGCCCCAGGACTCAGCTAGTGCTTACGTGTAGTAGCACCGAGTGATTACTCGTCAGATTAGACTAATTTAAAGGGAGATGAGAAAAGAAAGAAGTAGGTCCTTCACGAGGCAGAACGTATCAAACACGCTATCTTGAAGTCTACTTAACGAGGGAAGAAAGTCATATTGGTCTAGCATTGTCCGATCTGAATCTGGTCTTTTGACACTTGGAAAGAAACACCGTGACCCAGAATCAGAGTCCATCCAGCAGCGGGAGGGACATCCTTGGGCCTCCAGTGGGGAAGGAGGGCAGGCGCCCAGCAGCTGGAGCAGGGAGCCCTCGAGCTGAGCCACCAAGTCGTCCAGTCTCAACAGAAAGCATTTTCTGTGCCTACCCAGGCACCTGAAATTACGTGGCTGTTTATTAAAATGGACGTCCCCCCGAAGTCATGCCTGTTATCAGCTAATACATCATCAGGGTGGGAAGAAAGAGAAGTGATTTGTAGGGCAAAGTGAGGAAGGAAAGAACAGGCCATTCCCCCGCTGTTGCCCACTTCTGCCTCTGGCCCTCCTGACTCCTGGGTCCCAGACAGGCGGGCAGCGGGGACTGCGGTGGGTAAGTAGGCGGGGTGCAGCACCCCCACCAGGTCCAACCTGTCCAGCGCTAGGTGGCAGCGATGGCCATCAGCCTTCATGCAGGGATTTTCCTCACTGTTACTGAGGATCTAAGTGCCAGAGACTGTGGCCCGAGGAAGGACAAGGCTCAGTCCTTCTGCAGGGGCTGCCTCCATGTAGCTTATGTTCTGATAACAGGAGAGTCACATGGCAAGTCAAGAGATACATATATAAATGTAATAACTCTGGATCAAGAAAAAGTATGCACAGAAGGTAAAACAGAGTGATGGAAAAGTGAGTAACACTGGTGGGTGAGGAGCTGCTCTCTAGGCAAGGAGGTCAGAGCAACCAGAGCAGACCTGGAGCTGGGGCCACGTTCTCCACAGAGGGAAGAACAAGCACAGAGGCCCAGAGATGGGGCTGGGGGGTGTCCCAAAAGAAAGCAGGTCCGTGTGGCCCGCCAGACCCTGGAGGGGGGCAAAGGGAGGATAGAGCAAGGTATAGAGGCCAGATTGTACAAACCACAGGAAAAGGGGGCTTCTCATTCTGGGAGTAGTATCTGATTTGTGTTTTCTTCTTTTTTTTCTTTAAATTTTATTTTTATTTGAGGGAGAGCAAGAGAGCATGAGCAGTGGAAGAGAGGCAGAGGGAGGAGAAGGAGAGAATCCCAAGCAGGCTCCATGGTCAGCTCAGCAGAGTCTGAGGCAGGGCTCGATCCCATGACCTGATCAGATCATGACCTGAACCAAAACCAAGAGTCGGACGTCCAACCGACAGAGCCACCCAGGCACCCGATCTGTAATTTCTAAAGATGCTTCTAAGTGTGGTGCTGACATTATTGCTCTGGGACGGACAATAACCGATAACTCCTGTTTTTAACTATGGGCCACGTTAAGGCAGAAGGTACAGCGGGGCCATCAGAAAGGTGCAGGCCACGTGGTGTGGGCGTTCCCAGGGCAGAGGAGCAACTGGGCTGGGGGTCTTCTGCCTTTTTCTTCTTCCTTCTGTCCTAACGGTTTTTGCCTCCTCTGCTCATCCATCTCCTCAGCCCAGCCCTTTGCACGCAGTATTGGTAGGGCCTTTCCTTCTCGCCGAGAAGAGGTCTGGCATAGAGGGGAGATGGCCAGCGGGTGAAGGGGGCAAAGGCAGCGAGCACAGCCTGAAGCTCTGAGGTCGGAGGCCGGGTGTGTGACACAGCCCTGCTTCCCAGGTGGGGTGGCTGGAGGGTCTCAGCCACAGCAGAGACTGAGGTTGGGAGACTGCCCAGATAGAGATGTGCCGGACTCAGGAAAAGAAGCAAGTGTACGCTCCGTGCTGGGAGTCCTCATCTGAACATTAGCAAAGTCCCCACCTTGACTCCCGCCGGCTCTCTGCGGGCAGCTGCAGCCTTCTCCCCACGCAGCCGAGTCTGGTTATCTGCCCGGAACTTCCTGTTCCGGCGTCTGACTTGAGCGCTCTCTTTACTGTTCCAGCCCAGTGACCCTCCAAGTTCTCAGAGTCCTCTGAATCTGCCTGGAGCCAGGAGTGAGATGGAAGACAAGGTAGTATGATTCGAACTTCAGTTTTTAGTTTCTTTACTTCAGCTTCCATTTTGGACCCTTTTTTTTCCAATCCACCGTATCATTTTTCCATTCATAAATGCCGCCTACACCCATTACCTTCAGTTCCTTCAGAACGTTACCAGTGGTAGATGTTAGAGTGTCCGTTTCCACGGCTTCCTAAATGTGCCAGGTCCTTCAAGACCCTGAGAAGCCATTGGAAAAGGCATTCCAGAACACCTGAAGGTACACAGGTCTGTAAGGAAGAGTTTCTATTCAGAGATGCAAAACCAAAACAAAACAAAAAACCTCAGCATTTCTCTACTTGTATGTATTTTTGTTTTTTAACTTTTTTGTGTTCAGTTGAAACCTGGGACCGTGCCCGCAGGAGTCTCGGGGACCCTTCGAGGCCAGTCCACTAGCCAGAGCAGTTGTCTGCACAGGCTCCAGGCTTCCTCCTGGGGCCGGTACAGGGAGCAGAGTGTGTCCGAGTCTTCTGAAGGGGGATGGCCGCAGACTGCCACCGCCCAGACAATGAAGCAGCCCAGCTGGAACAATCTAGAAATGCAAGCTTGCATTTAAATCTCAGCTGCTGGTACTTCTCTGCCTTCAGTCTGTCCCATTTGGCTGGAATGCTTTTTATTCATCCATCTCTTAGGGGATGGAAATAATGTTTGATTCATCTCTTCAACAAGAGTTCAGAATGTGACACCTATTCTAAAGATAACCATAAAGAAATAATAGCTAGGAGCCTAAAGGCTGGAATTATTTTTCCTTACTTCTGTGTTTCTTATCATAAGTTATTATTTACTGAGCATCCATTTTGCTCTTGGAGCTGGCTTGGTCCTTTATCTTTAGCGCACGAATATGGAAGGTAATCGCAAAAAACGAAGCTGTGCGCTAAGCCCCACGGGCTCTGCATTGCTAGCATGAATGCGGCCCACCGGCCCGGCCTCCGCTCCTGCCCCGCCCGTGCCTGGGAGCGGCCGGCCCCTCAGGGAAGGCCGAGAGCGCCCTCTGCTGCGCGCTGGCGCCGTGCAGCTGGGAGCCCTCCCCTTGCCGCCCGCCTGTCTGGCCCGTACGTTTTCAGGAGTTGCAGGTGTGGCTTCTCCTCCCATTCAGTGTGGCCTCCGAGTGCAGGCCGAGCTGGATCTCTCTGACCTGCCTAGATGCGTACAGTTTGTCCGGGTGGTGGTATCTGAGTGCGCCCATCTGCATTCCGGTGCTGCTGGTCACCCTGAGGGGCTGCCCTCACCCCCCCCCCCCCCCCGGGGTGGTACATTTCTGCCCTTCCTTTTTGCGCCAGGGCCTCGCCCTCTCATGGGCTTGGTGCACTCAACTCAGTGCTCCGTGGCCTTGGAGTGATTGTGCTAGAACATTTTTGTGGGTACCAATTTCATACCCTAAGCACGGACGATCTAGTTTGTTGCGGTTCCTTTATTCCTCCTAAAAATACTAACTGAGCACTTGCCAAATGAGATTTGCGACGTGGTCATAAAGGGGACTGAAAAGAGAAAAAAGACACATTCCCTGCCTCAGAGGGACTAAGGTAGAAGCTGAGGGATGTTTGCAGGTGTCTCAGGTCATGTCTTAAATGACAGAGTCATTAGTACAGAGTTGAGCTGGTCCAGGGCTCAGCAAACTATGACTTATTTCAGGCTTGGTGGCCATAGAGTCCAACCAGGACACTCCCCCTTGTTTGCTCTTCCTTTGCAGCCCAAACGCAGCCAAAGACAATGGGCAGTGGGCGTGGTTGTGTGCCCGCAAAACTTTATGTGCCAAATTAAGCTATGCGCAGGATTGGGCCCCCTGGCTATGTTTTGTTACCCCCCATCTACTCTAACCTCCCCCCTCCCCATATTATTCAAAGTAGGAAAATTAGTCTGTGAAAGGTTAAATGACCTTTATGAGTTAATGCAAATAACACTGGCAGAACAAATCGTGCTCCCCTCACTGTCCCAGTGAGCGCCACCTGCTCGAAGCCATCCCCGGGGCCGGGCTGGGCCAGGTGCTGGCTCCAGCAACGGCTGTGGCTCTGATGGGGACCATGTGGTTTCATCCCCATACAGGTGGCTCCCGTTAAACCATCTCGGCCAAAAAGGCACTTGTCTTCTGCTGGAACCATCGAAAGTGTCAACCTAGACGCCATCCCCCTAGCCATCGCTCGCCTGGACAACAGTGCCGCCAAGCACAAGCTGTCCGTAAAGCCAAAAAACCAGAGGGTGTCCAAGAAGCACCGGCGACTTGCCAGGGTATGAGGGGCCCATCCTAGCTGACCAGGCAGCAGCCCATGCTTGCTGGCCGCTGATTCTACCCAGTAGGGCGGTGCCATGGAGGCCAGTAGAAGGAACTAGGTCTCCCTCATCAGGGACCTGGTCAGTTGCAGTGAACCAGGGCAAGGCAGGCCCGTTTACTTTCCATTGCCCTTTCTAACATGCCTGCCTGGGGGCTGGTGGGCCCCAAAACGAGAGGCTGTCATTTGAGGGCCCCCAGGCCCTCTGTGTTGGCTTTGCCCCTGCCATGTGACCCAGCTCCCCTGCCACAGCTCAGCCAGAGGGTCTTTGGTTTGACTAGGGTGGCCTTTGAGGTCACAGGTTTCAGGGCACACGACGTGCAAAGCTCAATTTTTCTCATCTTTCTCATGCTGGACTATTGGTTCTCCTGTGATTCATCTGTATTCAGCAAAAGGAACTTGAGAATGACCAACAAAGGGGCCAGAAGTCAACACGAAGGGATGTGTTTTCCTCCACCCGTGCAATTTATTCCCAGTGTTCTGGCGTGGGTTTACCGAGCTCTATACTTAGGAATAACTGCCCCTTCTTTTGAGATTAAGAGGGCCACGGGCATTGTGAATAGGGTGGGTAATGGTTGCCTGTTTGAAAGGAAAAGGCTAATTCTTTCTTTCCTTACCAATGTTAGGATGGACCAAATGAACATGGTGGCCTTCCGTATCAGCTCTCGCCAGACCAGAACGGACACTCGGGAGAAGACAAGCCAGTCTGGCATGAAGAAGAGCCAGAGCTGCTGGACTCTGAAGAAGAGAAGAGGTGCCAAGAGGAATACTGGCTGGAACTTGAGGCCAAGTGCAAACGGCAGAAGGCCGAGGCAGCAGAGAGGAGACGTCTGGAAGAGCAGAGACTCCAGGCCCTGGAGAGGAGGCTTTGGGAGGAGAACAGAAGGCAGGAACTCTTGGAGGAGAAAGGAGAAGACGAGGGAGATGGGGCAGAACTACAGCTGGAGGCAGAAGAGAGGCAGCGCCAAGAGGAGAGGCAGAGACTGGAAGAGCAAGGGTGGAGGGATCAGGTGGACGGAAGGCACCTGGAGGCCCCAGAGCAGCTGCGTCTCCATCGCCTTGCTCAACAGGAAGAGCAGGTGGTATGGAGCGGCACGGAGGCTGAGACGCAGCGGCAGCTGCAGGAGGAGAGGCAGCTGAGGGAGCTCAGGAGGCAGGAGGAGCTGGAGGAGCAGCAGAGGCTGGAAGCCGAGAAGCAGCGACAGCGGGAGGAGGAGCAGCGGGAAAGGGAGGAGCAGCGGCGGTGGGAGGAGGAGCAGCGGGAAAGGGAGGAGCAGCGGCGGCGGGAAGAGGAGGAGCGGCAGCTGGAAGAGGAGCAGCAGCGGCAAAGGGAGGAGCAGCTGCGTTTGGAAGAGGAGCAGCGGCGTTTGGAAGAGGAGCAGCGGCGGCGGGAGGGAGAGCAGCGGCAGCTGGAAGAGGAACAGCGGCGGCGGGAGGAGGAGGAGGAGCAGCGAGAACGGGAGGAGAGGCGGTGGCTGGAGGCAGAGGCAGCTGCCAGGAGGAGGGCAGAGCTGGGAAAGCGGGAGCAAGTGGAGGCCCTGAGGAGGCTGGAAGGGGAGCGTCGGGAAGCCGCGAGAGTGCACGAGGAGAAGTGGCAGCAGCTGGACGAAAAAAGGGGCTTGAGGAGTCCGAAGATGGACTTTGCAGAGAAACCCCGGAAACGAGAGCACCTGCAGCCCGAGAAGCAAAGCGAAAGCTCCGAGGAATCTAAGATTGGCGAGAAGCAGAGTCAGGAGGCCGCGCCAGCCAGAGAGCAGCAGGGACAGCGCGGGGACGGTCCGGAGCCTGACCGTCGTGCGCGTCAGGAAGAGAGACCAGAAACTAGCGCGCAGCTTCCCCAGAAACAAGAGGCGCAAGTGGAAGAGACTCCCGGGGAGAAGGAGGAAGCCGCTGCCCCAGAAAAAGACAGAAAGGGGGAGGAACTCCGGTGGCAGGAAGTGGACGAGAGGCAGAGCATGCCAAGGCCCTACACTTTCCAGGTGTCATCGGGAGGGAAACAGATTCTCTTCCCCAAAGTCAATTTGAGCCCGGTGACACCCGCGAGAGATGCGGGACTTGCCTCTGCTCCCCACGCGCCGAAGACCCCGCGAGCCGGCGCGACCTCCCACGCCCTGCCCTCCTCCCTAAGTGTCCCCCACACAGCCATTCTGGTCACGGGAGCGCAGCTCTGCGGCCCGGCGGTCAACCTGAGCCAGATCAAGGACACGGCATGCAAGTCCCTCCTGGGCTTGGAAGAAAAGAAGCACGTTGACGTCCCCGCCCTGGAGAACCCGCCGCGAGCGCCTGTCGACCCCCGGGCAGGCAGCGGGAAGGTCAGGGCCGCCCAGGAGTCTCCGAGCAGTGCGGCCGCCCTCGCCGAATGGGCGTCCATTCGGTCCAGGATCCTGAAGAACGCGGAGGGCGAGCAGCCTCGGCCCGGTGACGAGCACCCTCCCCGGGCCCGCAGTGATTCCCGCGGGAACCTCCGGAGGACCCCCCCAGTAAATGCCAAGTTCTCTATTATGCCCGCTTGGCAGAAATTCTCTGACGGTGGCACCGAGACCTCCAAACAGAACACAGAAACAGAGAGCATGAGAAAAAGAGCCTCGCTGGGACCCGGGGTGCCCCAGCCCCTGGCTACTAACGAGCTCCCCAAGGGTGCAGAGAAACCAGGGCCAGCAGACACCACGGAGGGGTGCAAATTTGCCAAAGACCTCCCCTCTTTCCTTGTCCCCAGCCCTGCTTACCCGCCGCAGAAGGCAGTGGCCCATGCGGAGCCCGGGGCCACTTCGGACGCTGAGACCAGCAGCGGGAGAGGGAAGCCAGACCCCTCGATGCCCGGCCAGGAGGAAAAAGCCTCACCGTTTGGCATAAAACTGAGAAGGACCAACTACTCCTTGCGCTTCCACTGCGACCAGCAGACGGAACAGAAGAAGAAGAAGAGGCACAGCAGCACTGGGGACAGCGCGGACGGCGGCCCCCCGGCCCCCGGGGGCACCAGGGGAGAGAAGGAGCCGGAAGCCGCGGCCGCCAAGCCGGGCCCGTCCCTGCCCCCTGAGAGGAAGCCCGGCCTGTCCGCCTGGAAGGACTTGGCCGAAAGGGCCCCCCCTTCTCCCGCCGCCGCCCCGGGGCCCCCGCCGGCCGCGGAGCACGACCGCGCGGCCCACAGAACGCCGCTGGCGCCGAAGCCCGCGCTGGCCCCCAAGCCTGCGGGTCAGACGCCGCCCCCGTCGCCGCTCTCCAAGCTGAGCAGGCCCTACCTGGTGGAGCTGCTGGCCCGCCGGGCGGGGAGGCCGGACCCGGAGCCCGGCGAGCCGGCCAGGGAGCCCCAGCAGAGCAGGGAGCCCCGGCCGCCGTCGCCGCCGCCGCCCCCGGAGCCGAGGAAGGCGCCGCCGAGGGACCAGGAGGAGGCGGTGGAGCCCGAGCGCAAACCCGCTTCCCCGGCTCCGCCGGCCGCCCGGCCGGAGAAGCCCTGCCCGACCCCCGAGCCCGGGAGAAGAGGTAGGTGGCGGTCGGGGGCATCTCGGCCTCGCTCCGGCGCAGCGCGTGGGGCCCAGCGGGAGCCGGGGCGGCGGCTCGACGGTCCCCACCCAGCGCGTCGCTCCCTCGGCTGCCCAGGGCCGGCGACGTGACCGACGGGCGGGCCGCTGCTGCCGCCCGGACCGACACGCCGGGGGTCGGCCGTGGACACGAGAGGCCGGCCTGATTAGCGCGTGTCCTTAATCCTCCGCGGGCCGTGCGGGGCTGGTCCGAACGGGTTCCCCGGAGGAGGCTCCGGCGGGAGGGGACGGACTTGCGGCCGCAGCGTCGCCCGAGGCGCTTCTGGGTGCACGGGCCGCTCCCCGGCAGTTTGGGCCAAACGCGCTGCTGCGGGACCCCCTCCGCCCCGCAGCCTGGCTCTTGAGGCCGCCTGCTAGAACCTGCAGAGCAGCTGCCGACCCTCCTGTTTCTCCAGAGTGGCCTTGGGCCCCTGAGAACTTCATAGGATACTTTTTTATTTTGTACGGTTGGAGGTAACCGTTCAGAAAGATAGTCCAGAAGTTCTGTTTCTCAGAGAAATTCTCCCCTGAGGTTTATTAGGAAACCCGTAGGCCTTTTCTTTTGTTGGACTGTTTAGGTGGCTAGTGATTTTTGCAGAGAAAAGAGCTGTTTGCCCAGCAGTATTGCTGTGGTGGCTTGCCTTACGGAAGGAAGGTCTCATTGTCCTTTTTAACCAAGCCTTAGACGGCAGGTTGATCCAGCAGTCTCCAGACCATTTCTCCCTAATTTCTGTTTGTCCTGCTGATGAGAAGCCCAATCTCAGTTTTTTCTTTGTGTTTCTGTTTTTCCTTCTGTGCTGGGCCCTGGGGGGTCACCATGGTAGTCCCACAAGCGGGTAAGAGCTGTCCCGTAGTTCCCCATAGCCTCGCGGGACTCGCACTGGCAGCCCCCACCTTGGCCTTCAGAGCTAGGTGTTTTGGGGGCCCTAGCTCTTAGAAGTCTGAGAAGTTGGGGTACCAGATGTGGAGTCCAAACCCTTTGCTCCCCAAGGAGAAGATAGGAGTTGTGAGTTCTCTCCCAGTTGTGGGTTCATGGTGAGGTTGTGTTCCAGCTTCTCCAGCCTCCTTCCACATGGGGTTTTTCTCGTTCACACAACTTGTAGGAGTTTTTGGATTTCTTTTAAAGGAAACTGTTGCATATGTAGCTGTATATTGGGTGTGTCCATGCGAGGAGGAGGAGGGGAGTTCGGGATCCTTCTATGTTGCCGTCTTAACTGGAGCCCCATTTTCAGTTTTGACATTAGCTTTTGTGTCGTTAGCTCTCATGATCTCCCTCTCAAAGTCCCTCTCACTGTCTGGGGGGACTCTATCACTCTCCTTAGCTTCTCCCCAGAGAAATAACAGTTGTGCTGCTTTCTCATAGAGAAGTCCCTTTATTGTAATTTTCTACCAAAAACCGTTACTGCCCCTGTTTTCTTACCCAGGATCCAGATTCTGGGCTGTCAGGCTCTGCTAACTGAATTTTTCTTTATTTGCTAGAAAAGAAGCAAGGTCCTCATGCCCTGGGCGTACCGTCTAAAGACCACTGAGGTTTTCCCACCCCACACTAGGCCAGGCTGAGGGTGTGTTGGACTGAACGCCCTCATCAGAATAAAAATGTTAAAGCCTGGATCTCCAATTTCCTTTGTTAATTGTGTGCCTGTAGTGCTGTCATTAGCTAAAACCCCTGGAGCTCCGCGTGCATTTAGGGTGAAGTTCACTGAAACAACGGGGACATAAATCTGTTGCAGATCATGGTGCTTCCTTTTATTTTCTTTGGCCCGCTGCTTGACAGCTCTGGCTTTGTCATAAAGCAGCGGGCAAAGAGCTTGTCAGCTCTGCTAGGTTCTTGTGTTTGTATTAATAGCAACCTCACAGGATGCTAAAAGCAAAGGAGTGAGGAGAGCCGACAAGAGACAGCGTTAGTAGTTGTCCCCTCCCTGCACTTGGAGCTTCCACCTTCGGGGGGGGGGGGGGGGGCGCTGTCAACATGCTGTTTGTTCTAGGTGGCCTTCTGCAATATGGCCTGAGTGAGGATGTCTGTGCCAGTCTAAATATTAAATATTAGAAAAGCTTAATTTCATTTTTCTTTTTAATTTAAACATACTCAAATTCTGACCTTTTCTTCCTAACTTAGCCCCAGTGAATGGCCAGACACATTCCCTAGGGCGCACACACCCTTTATTTTGTAGGCCACTGGTGTAAAAGAGACTTCCATCCCCAAGGCTGAGGCCAGTGAGAACCAATCCATAGGCTGAGCCACTGGGAGGGCTTTGACTCTGAATCTGCCCCCGTGGGAATGAAAATAACAAAGGTGATCCCCCGTTTGTCCTCTAGAGGTCATCTCATTCTGAAATTTCCACCTCCTTATGGTGTGTGGAACCGATAATAAGTGGCCCTTTCTCCAAGAACTTACTGCCTTCAGGAGCTGTGGTTCAAACCCTGTAAGGCCGGGATGGACTTGCTTGTGTCCCCAGAACCCGAAGGAGGGCATCTGAATGGCCTGTGGCTCCCCTCGTCCACTGAGTTCAGAATGAGAAAGAATAACCCTGGCTTCTTCTTCCCCCAACTCTGATTTTTCCATGACCTTGTGGTAGCTGTCTGGGCCAGTCCGAAGTCGGTGATCTAGAACTTTACTTCAGGATATGAGAGTCAGTGCCATTGTACGTTGAAGGCCTTTGGGCAGCCTTGGCTGAAATTCACAGGAGCCCCATTTTACCTTCCTCAGATGTTTTCTGTTTATTGATCCCCAGCTATAATCCGGACCTGTTAGGCCCTTTCTCATAATGTATTAGAGCCTTTTTAAAGTCCGGTCATAACTCCAAAACATGCTATTCAAGCCACAGTTCTAAGGAAATAAAAATCTGACTAGTGATTTACCTTTTCAAATAAAAAAATTGGCAATTATACTTTAAAGGTATTTTGACCCTTGTGATAAAACACCTGTCAAACTGTTGTCAGGAAACTGGCCAGTGGTTTTAATGACCTTCAGATGGAATGTTTAGTGTAGGAATCCCTTTACATAATTGCTTTAAATAGAAACCATTTGGATCTTGGCAGTTTGGTTTTCAGACATTTTACAAACAGGTGTTACACGGCCCTTGAGTAAAAAACCCAAAATTTATTAAATTAGTCCCCATGTATCTAGAGCTTCTCAGTTAAGCATTATGCTTAAAGTGGTGAATGCACTTGACCCTTGAACATCATGGGGGTTAGGGGGCGCTAACTTCTTGCACAGTTGAAATAGTGTATAATGGTTGACTTCCCCAAAACTTAACTATTAATAGCCTACAGCTGACTGGAAGCTTTACTAATAATGTAATCAGTTGATTAACTTGTATTTTGTACATTACTGTATTTATACAATAAAGTAAGCTGGAGAAAAAATGTTATTAAGAAAAACATAAGAAAGATAATACATTTACAGTACTGTGCTGTATTTATAAAAAAAAAATCCACATAGAAGTAGACTTGCACAGGTCAAACCCCTGTTCAAAGGTCAACTGTATTTAATTTTTTTGGTTAACTAAAGATTAATAAAAAATACCTTTCAGGGATTTTGTTTTTTAAATACTTCCGAAGTATGCCAGTTTTCTTCACTGTGTTAGATCATACCTGAATCTTTATTTGATGATTAGGGATAGTGTAACCACCAAGACTCACTGTAATAGGCATTCTCTTTGTGTAGTGTTAGAGATCTAAAAGGTACAGAAAAGCAGAATCTGCCCCTTTTTTGTGCTTGAATTCCTAATTTGATTTTCTTTGGTTCTTCTCCTATAAAGTCGAGTTGCCTGAGAGCCCTGTTTGGTAAGGTTCTAGATCATCAAACTGTGAACTTCTAGTAGATTTCAAAAGAGCAGGACTATAGTGGGCCCTTTTCCTTTGAGATAGTAAAGGATTCAGTAACAGAATGATTATCTCTAAAAAGGCATAATTTTTACTTGAGGGAAAAGAAGGGGATGATTCTCAAAAACCGAACAGGTCACTTGTAAAACGGTTACTCTATGCCAAGCGCTGCTCTGAATGTTCTGATGCCCACGATCTCTTCATCTTCTGGCCAGCCTGAGGAGGTATGCGCCATTATCATCTCTACTTAGGGATTAGAAGACCTTAAGGAGGTTCAAGTAACTTTAGTTTGACATGAGGTCAGACCCAGGGCTGCTCAGTTTAAAAGCCTAATTACTCAACCTCTGCTGCCCATCTCCTGCGGAGCGCGTTTGCCCAGGTCACACGGGGGAGGCCATCAGCCATAAGAAAAGCACAGACTGGAAATCAGAAGTCCTAGGTTCAAACTTCAGCCTGGGCGCTAACGGCGGGGTGACCCCCAGCATGACCCTGGCTTGCTGTATGCTTACACTCCAGTCTGTCAGGGGAGAGCACTGGACCAAAATCACAGTTTCCTCCAGCAGCCGCACCAGGTAGAACAGCCTCCCTTGTATCTCTCCCATCCTTTGGGGTTCCACATAGGATGTTTGGAGAGGGGTTGAAAAGCAATAAATAAGAACAATAAATCAAATAACAGCCTGGGTCCCCTGTAGGCCTGAGATTTTCTGACACTGGAGATCTTATTTTTACTTCCATTTTGAGGGAAAGAAAATGCTTCTGTGTTTCTGTTGATCAAAGATGTTACCTCCCCATGCAGAGAAGTCTCTGAGGCATCCGTACAGAGTTCATTTCAGGAAAGGCCGTTGAGTATTTCATGTCATAAGCTGTAGGGGGTGCGGGATCCAGATAAGTGAGCAGTCTCACCGCGAACCTGCTTTCCGCCTTTCCCGGTTCTGATCACAGATCCGTGGGGGGCAGGGGCGGGGTGGGGGCTCGGCGTGCTGGGAGGGCAGGTCTCCAAACCACCAGACGATCCTCAGACACGTTTCAGCTCAGGTCTGACACTGTCTACCTAGAGATAGCATCAGGCCCCACCTGTTAAGGGCTCAGTCCCACAGGACTGTCCCCGCTTTAGATGCCATTTCCAAGGCCAGGCCATCACCTGTGCTTCCGATCCACTTTGAAATCAGAGATTCTCCTGACCCCCTCCTTGAGTTCAGTTAATTTTCTTTAGTAGCTCACAGAACTCAGAAACATCTTGCTTTCTAGATGACCATTTTATTACAAAAGACTATAATTCAGGAACAGCCAGATGGAAATGATACAGAAGGGCAAGCTATGGGGGATGGTATGGAGCTTCTCTGCTCCGAGAGCACACCGGTCCCTTCAAATCTCTCCGTGTTCACCAAGCAGAAACTCCCTGAATGCCCTCCTTCTGGAATTTTATGGAGGCTTCATTACATGGGCGTGACTGATTAAATCCTCAGTCATTGGCAACTGAACTGTCTCTAGTCCCTCTCCCCTCCTGCAGATTGGGGGGTGGGAACCAAAGATCCAGCCTCTCTAGTCCTGCGGTTGGCTCTTCTGGCAACCGGCCCCATTCTTAGTGTTGCTCCCAGAGTCATCTCTTTAATGGAATAAGAGACACCTCATGCTCTCATTGCTTAGGAAATTCCAAGGGTTTTTCGGAGCTCTGAGCTCTAGAAATGGGCACAAAGGCCAAATACATATTTCTTTTTAAGAAAAATTATTTAAAGTTTATTTAATCTCTGCACCCAGTGTGGGGCTTGAACTCATGATTCAGAGATCAAGAGCCCCATGCTGTACCAACTGAGCCAGCCAGGTGCCCCCAAGTACATATTCTAAATCACAATATTGGGGCGCCTGGGTGGCTCGGTCAGTGAAGCATCTGCCTTGGGCTCAGGTCATGATCCCAGGGTCCTGGAGTCCAGCCCCGCCTCGGGCTTCCTGCTCAGCAGGGAGTCGGCTTCTGTCTCTCGCCTTGCTCGCGCTCTCAAATGAATAAATCTTTAAAAAGATAAATCACAATATCTCAGTCTCTTTTTCCACAGAAAAGCCGGTTCTTCAGAGCAGGCACTCTTTGGATGGCTCCAAAGTCGCGGAGAAGGCGGACACCGCGCAGCCGCTGTGGATAACGTTGGCGCTGCAGAAGCAGAAGGGCTTTCGGGAGCAGCAGGCGACGCGGGAGGAGAAGAAGCAAGCCAGGGAGGCCAAGCAGGCAGAAAAGCTCTCCAGAGAGAACGTGAGTGTGCGTCTGCAGCTTTCACTTTGCCGTCCCTGAGTTTGGCTCTCTTTCAGGTTGCCAGGCTTATGGGAAGAGAAAAGCCAGAGCAGAAACAAACCGGCTGAGTGGCCGAGAGCACCTGGGCCAGAGCAGAAACCCGAGCCCCGCTCATCGGGGGCGGTGGCTCCGGGGTTGACTCTGGTTTCCTCGTGCTCTTCCGTTACCTGCACTCGGTAGAATTCCCGGAGGAGCAGGGACCCAGGCCCGCAGTCACACGAGAACTAGGAGCGGGATCGCGCTTGAGCAGGGCCTTGGGAGGAAGATCAGGAGTCTTGTCTGCAGCCCCGATTTGCGGGGCCGCTCGACAGGCCTCTGCAAAGTGGCTTCCGTTTGAGCTGAGCTGCTCCGCGGTTGGGCGTCGAGGCTCCGCGCTGCTCCCAGGTGCGGTGCAGCTGCCCCGCGACGGGCAGAGGTTGCGGGCTGGCGGGCAGAAGGCCCCATGGCCTTGCACGGTCAGTCTTCCCGTGTCCCCAGGCTGACGACCCACGTGCCCGACTCTCCCCCAGGTCGGCGGCGGCCTGCAGCCCGGAGGCGGCGGCGGCGGCAGGGCCGGGTCCCCGCACAAGGCCCGCGCCCCGCCGGAGGAGAAGCAGCCCGAGACGGCCGCGTCCAGGCTTGAGCGCAGGGAGCAGCTGAAAAAGGCCAACACGCTTCCTACATCTGTGACAGGTAGGGAGAGCAGGTCCCTGCCTGTGTCGCCGTGGTGACAGGCTTGTCTCAGAGCTGCTCTGTGTCCGTGAGAGCGAGCGCAAGTGCAGCCCGCGAGGCCCCGCAGGGCGCAGGCTGCCTCCCACCCACCGTCCTCTCGCAGCAGCGTCTGCTAAATCCCACCAGGGCCTCCCCCGTGGGCGTGTGCTGGTGGACGGTTCCCTCACCCTTTGGGCAGCGGGGAGGCCTCGGATTTGTAGCATTTGACAGTTTTCACGGGGTAAATCCTCCCGCCGCGGCCAGTGTCCAGCTCCCCGTGTGGTATCCGCTGGTCCCCCGAATTCCTGAATGTGACCGGGCCCTCGCCGCGCCCCGCGGCCTCTTGTCCCCGCGGCGTGAGCTGCACTAACCTGCTCCTGCGGCGGAGACTGGAGACCCTAAGATCGTCTCAAGGGAGGAGGAGGCAAGGTTATAAGAGGATATGGGGGAAAGGGTGAAGGTGAGGTACGATTCAGTGGAGTGGGGTTTTGACAGGTTCAGGACAGAGCAAGAGTTGTCTGTAAAGGGGCTGATTTCAAACCTGAGCTGAAAAGCGGACTCGGGTCCTGTTGCCAGGCAAAAGCTGGATGGTCTCCACTCACTGAGGGGATTTCAAAAAGCAAGTTTCTGGCCAGCATGACTTTAGAGGGCAAGGTTTTCCAGCTGAGTTGTTTATGAAACACTGCGTTAATATATTCAGGACACATAAAAAGACATTTAAAAAAAAAATTCTTTATTCTGTTAAAGCGATCCTGTAACGTTTCAAACTATTTCCTTGTTACAAATCACTTGAAGGATGGAGAGGAGTTTTGGAACAAGCTTCCTCCCAGCGGTTAGCAGAGCACCTGTTTTCCCTTCTGGGCAACCACCCAGAGACCCAGGCTGTTTTATGCCTCTGTCACCTGCTAGCTCAGGTTTGGAGACGTAAAGAGGTCCTGCCCTTGAAGCTCTATGTATTATTTTGGTGAAGAGAAAAAAACAACTGTATTAGAAGAGCACTTTGGAGCACTGTAATTTCTCAGAAACTTCATGGATGTAATTTCATTTGATCTTACACCCAAGACCTGAGGGTTCTAACCATATGGGTTGTAAAAGGGATCATTCTTTCAAAATAAAATTCCAAAGTCGGGGATCACACCTTTCTCTGTGTGACTTCTGTGGAAGTGCCAGAGAGTTAATGCAATTCAGAGTGGCTCCGCTCAATGAAGCAAACGTTTGTTCTGATATATTTGTCTTTTCCATCAGTATTTCCCGACTTCTGTTCAAGGGTTGGCCATTGCCACGGGCACTAAATAGGACTCAGAGATAAGCCCATATCCCTCACCTTAAGAAGCCTTTAAGGTCAGGTGAAGAAAGAATTGTGAGACAAGCCTGGAAGTGGTCAGAGCTGGCAGGAGCAGGGGCCTGGGGGTGGGGGGTAGCCTAGGCCTGCTCAGTGGAGAGGGTAACTTTTGACCTCACCAGTTAGATAAATTCAGGCTACTGGTTGGATGTTTTTCTTCATGGAACTGACCAGCTGGATAACTAGAATATAGCATTTACCTTTTATTTCCTATCATGGATCATATTTCCTATGCCTCCATGATAGGAATTAGGCTTCCAGAAACTCTGAGATTAAAAGCAGCTGCACTATAGTTCTGTAAGCAGTAGTTCTGATCACATTGCTTTCTTTCCCTAATCCTTCTCACTAAAGATGCCCAGTGTCTCACGGGGTTTCCTTTCTGAATCTTGTACTTCTATCACCTCAGAACGTGGCTCTGACTTACACTTATCCTTTTCCTTCAAAACGCAACCCAGTGGAGATCTCGGATTCAGCGCCCCCCGCGCCGCTGGTGAAAGAAGTCACAAAGAGGTTCTCAACCCCGGATGCTGCCCCTGTGTCAACAGAACCAGCCTGGCTGGCTTTGGCCAAAAGGAAAGCCAAGGCCTGGAGCGACTGTCCGCAGATCATTAAGTAGAGTGACTTTCATCCACTCCTCCTGCCAGCTCTTGGCTCCTCTCTTGCCCTTGTTATTTATTTTTTATATGAGGTGAAGACACCACACTAGGGAAAAGCAGCATGTGTTGTAGGCTCTAAAGTCATGTGCAGAAACTGTAAAGAGTGTATTTGCACAATCCTAGGTCCTGGTGCCTGGGGCTCCTCCTTGTTCTCAAGAGAAAATTCCATCCGAGGTACCACGTGAAGCAGAATCTCCAAACTAAGAATTTTTCACAAGAGCCTACTCGGCCCCTTCCCCACGTACACATGCACACACCATTTAGAACAGGACTCTTGCCAGTCTTTTACATGATTTGTCGGTTCTCCAGCTTCTTTAATCTGGAACATTTACCCTACCATGTTTGGTGGTTTCTTTCCTTTTCTACAATCATGGTGAAAGAAAGGGTCATACAGACAGAAACGAGATGCCGTTCTCCCGAGTGCATCGGGTACCTGGGAACCCTGAGAGCCTGGCTGCCGTCTCTGCCCGTGTCCGCTTGTCTGACTTCCCCCCCTCGACTGAAACCGTACCACCGTGAATCTCCTCACCCTTCCGCCGCACTGATGTCCCATAGGTCCTGTCAAACCAGTGCTCTCCGTGAAGACGTGTTAAACATTTGGCCCATGTGGCTCTGAGGGAACATTTTTATTTAGGGTCATGAAGAAAGGAAGCGACAGACTGTCTTCCCAGCTCTGAGAATCTCCCCCAGGGCAGTGGTTAAGACATCCCCGTCCGCCTCCTGCCTTCCGAATTAGAGCCTGTGAGTCTGGGCCGGGAAGGTCTATCAGACGAATTCTGACACATCCCAAAGGAGTACTGTGGGCTACACTGCTTCCAGGGTAATCCAGCTTTTAAAACTCGGAAGGGGAGGCTCATTTTACCCAAATAAGTGAGAGGAAAAATAAAAAACCCCCCAAGCCAGACTTCTACTGTAAGATAGGAGAAGCTACTGGCATTGAATGTCTCTGAATATCCCTTAGGTCTTTAGGGAGAATTTAACAGGAAGCCAAGACTTGGAGCCTTTGTACTGAGGACTTCTGTGGAAGTTTCTTCACCGTAGTCGAGTGATTCATATTCAGAGTCAGATGTTCAACAGCATTTGTAATTTTGAGCATTCACCTTGGTACCTTTAAAAACCATCTCCAAGTCTTAAGTGGCCTTGCTGCTATCCACACATGTGGTCCAAAGAAGGGACATGGCAGTTCAAAAGCACGAGGCATAGACCCACCAGCAAACCCACACATCGCCAACATGGACATTACAGCGCACGGGGGTGGCACATTCTCCTTGGCAGAAACCGTACCCCACAGTAGAAGTACACCTCTCTCGCCCAGTGCATGGGGAACTGCATTCCTTTTTCCCCTCTTGCAAAAACACATTTTACCATTATCCATCATTATTTTACTCTACGCAGAGCTCATTTGACTGGCAACGTATCGTTGCTGTCATTCACCATATAGAAGGCATTTTCTTTCTGGAAACGATGGCTCAGCCCCATGGTTAGCAGCGGGCAGGTGTGGTCAAGCGGACATTTGTACCCTTGCAAGTTGGCTTTAATGTTCTATAGACCGGACCTTCCATCGGTTAAGAATCAGTGTAACTAATTTTCTTTTATTCCTGTGGGAAGCAATTCATATCCCGCTGCATGTTTTCCACACCGATGTTCGTTTCTAAATCAAACGTGGCGGCATTTGTTCGTTCTCAGTGGTGTCACTACTGACAGAACACACTTTTTAATGGGAGTCTTTCCACTAGAGCCCTGGTCTACAGCGCGACGAGAATCCTTCTGAACTTTTCCTCTCATCCCGCCAGCTCTGGATGACACCGCAGTGAGGGCGGAGAACGGGGAAGCAGTCGGGTCATGACGAAGGATCCCGGATGAGCCACCACTGCTGGCGCACACAGCACCGAGCACACACAAAGTAGGAGAAAATACCTCAGTTACAAAGTTTCTCTTCAAGTCTTCAAGGGTACACTGAGGACAGGATAGTCACAGCACTTACTTCCAGCAACTTCTAAAGGGTCCATGTTTATCTCATGTAAAATGGCTCCAAATTTGCACTAAATACCAATGAAGTGTTATTTTGCTTTAGTTGTGTTGCAGTCTTTTCTGATCAACAAACTATGGGGGAAATTCTGTAAAAAAAAACCTTTTTTTTTTAATGAATGATTGCTATGTTAAATATTTTTTTTTAACTTAAACGTACTTCTCTTGGCAAAGGTAACAGATTAACCTCTGCTCATAAACATATATATATATAAATAGTTTTTTGTTTACTTTTTTAATTTTTCAAGTGCAATTGTTTCTTACACATTACTATTAAATTATCATTTTAGCCAGTTATCAGCAAATTATATAGTATGTATTCATTGTCTCTTCTTGTCACATTTAGTTTGCTTATTTTAAAGCAGAAACATTAGTTACACGTGTCTTGCAATATTTTTACCAATAATAAAATTAGAGACAACAATGAAAAATATCTTAGTGTGATTTTAATATTATTTTGAGATTTTTGGTTGTATAAAGTTTTAATGTAAAATGTCTATTATTGAAGGAAAATGATCTTTCAATAAAAAACACCTACAAGATCTTCAGCACTGATGAAATTTCCTTTTCGAGTTGAGGTTTTTGCTAATTTCAGGGACCATCTACAAGTAAGCTCATGTTTACATAACTTTTGTTGAGAAAGAAACATTTCAAGGCATTTTATGGGCTACCTTGTATTTTTTACTAGGTGACTCAGAGAAAAGTAATGAATAGGGGCAAATAAAATATTTATTTCAATCCTAAATTGGAATTGAATGCTCTGCATCTCAGAGAAAATACTACCACGCAGCCTCCTTCTCCGTGTGTGGGCTGCAGAACTGCCCCTGTGGCGGAAGCTGGAAGCCTGTGGGAAAGGCGGCTTCCGGCCCCAGGCCAGACCTGCTGACTCACAGGCCTACACACGGGGACGTGGTTGAGGGAGGGGAGCTGAGGCTTCCACCTTGGGGGCCACAAAGCTGATTAAGATAAAAACGATTCTATTACTATATTTGTTTAAAAATAAGAATTAGTACTTGGAGCACTTGCTAGCTCAGTTGGTAGAGCATGGGACTCAGTCTTGGGATCGCGGAGTTCAAGCCCCATGTTGGGCTTAGAGAGTACTTAATAAAAAATTAGTACAAATTCCATTGTGAACAAATATCAAAATTTTCAATAAAGACAGGGGCCTTTATTGCTATATTAAAGACAGACTTGGGGTCAGTATTACTGATTTTTCTTTTTGCCACAGGATCCACATGGCTTAGCAAAGCACCCTTTCAGCCCTCGTAATTGGAATGTGCATGTGGGCGGCAGGCCGGCAGCGGCGGGGAACGGTGTCTGCGTTAGTGGGTTGAGCATCTGAGCTTCAAGGACAGCAGCTTGTGTCTTCCCCAGGCCAAAGTCATGGTGATTTCAGGAATTCACAGTTCCTGGCTTCTGGGCCTTGTCCCAATTCTCTAAGGACTTCTAGTCCTTGTCCCAATTCTCTAAGCTATCCAACATTCTTTTTAATAATTCTTTTCTGCTTAGGGGTGCCTGAGTGGCTCAGTCATTTAAGCATCTGCCTTCGGCTCAGGTCATGATCCCAGGGTCCTGGGATCTAGCCCTGCATCAGTCTCCCTGCTCAGCAGGGAGTCTGCTTTCCCTCTCGTGCACACACTCTCAAATAAATAAACTCTTAAAAAAAAAAAAAAGGTGGGGCGCCTGGGTGGCTCAGTAGGTTAAGCCTCTGCCTTCAGCTCAGGTCATGATCTCAGGGTCCTGGGATCGAGTCCCGCATCCGGCTCTCTGCTCAGCGGGAAGCCTGCTTCCCCCTCTCTCTCTGCCTGCCTCTCTGCCTACTTGTGATCTCTCTCTCTCCTCTCAAATAAAATCTTAAAAAAAAAAAAGGTTATTTTCTGCTTAAAATAGCCCAAGTTGACTTCTGTAGCTTGCAGCTAAGAATTCTGGCATGTTTGATATTTGGGACTTTACTGGAGAACAAATGGACAAATGAAACTGATACCACAGTTGACTGTAGAGATGAAGGGAAGCTAAACAATGGGAAACATTTCTGTTACTTTAAGTGCTTGGGAGCAAGTGTCTGGTAGGTGATAGGCCCTAAGTAGCAGTGACTTCTACCACGAGTGGCAAAATTCTCAGTATTGTAGCAAAAAAAGAAAAAAGCTGATTTATTACCTGAACTAGATCATGAAATGCCAAAGAAAACTGAGACATCTGTCCATCTTTTGAGTAATTTACGTGATGTGAAAAAGAGTAACACGTAAGTTTTGTTCTAGTGATCTTTGCTACTACCACCCAGAACTTAATACCCTAACATGCTACCCTAAAACTTAGTGGCTTAAAACTGCCATTTTATTATTTCTCAGGATCCTGTGGGTGAGGAATTAAATGTCTGGCACCAGGATAGCCTGAATAGCTGGGGCTGGCTGGAATGCCGGGAGCCCAGTGCATGCGATGTCACCTGTCCCTGTGATCTGGCTTTCTCGGGTTGTAGAGCGTGGTGTCAGGGCCTCTCCCTCCCCACACGGCCTCTCCATTTGGCCACCAGACTTTTTATGTGACAGCTCAGGGGTTCTGTGAAAGCAGAAGCTGCCAGGCCTTCTTAAAGCTTAGGCTCAAGAGTGACAATAATGTCACCTCCACGGTGCATTCTACTGGCTAAAGCAGAACATGGACTAAGCCCAGGTACAAGAGGAGGAGGATGCAGAAAGGGCACAGCTCACAGGAGGAGGAGGGATGGTTCACGGCGGGCAACTTCATGCCAGCAAATGTGGCTGTGAGCAAAGTGCTATGGGACTGGAGAAGCAGCTCCAGCCCTAAACCGTACAAATTATGAGAAATCAGGATAATTAAAAGGATATAGGGTATTTCCCTTCCTAATGTTTGTTGTGTGCCCTTCCGCCAAGTCAGTGAACAACAACAAAAAGACCTACAGCCACAAAATCAATAAATTGATAAACAGAGGTATAAAAATACTAAGATTTGTGTGTCAAAAATTGGAAAAAAGAGGGTAAATCAACTTAAAACTCTACTATAGGAAGACACAGATATATAGATATAATACTGGTATTCTGTTCATTT